CTAAACTGTGAGGAAGTAATGGAAGGTACACCGTGTATGCTGAACCTGCTCTGTAGTACAGGGCAATGGTCATATCTTCCTCTCCATCAAATAACTAATATATTTATGCACCTGGCCAATCCTGAAATGAAGGGTGATCAAGTCTTTTCCAAAAACAATCAGACCTCTTATTTCACCTCTCATTTTCATAATTATTTTGTGTTATGTACATCAACTTTCAGTGTAGCAACACTGGAGTTTGTCATAGAGGATTTAATAGTAACATCATCAACTGTGTGAATCAGATCATGACCATCAGCTTTTCCTCTGATAAAACCTCTCTCATCACCGTGATACATCTTACAATAAAGATCATAATCACAGTTTGTTTTCTTATCAAAGACTCCCACTGCGTACCAGTTAGAGTACAGGATGTAGTCAAAAGGAACAGAGAACATGACAGCTATTTTGTTATCAGCTCTGTCTGTCGCTGGATCATAGAGATCGTAGGTGAAGACTCCAACAGATCCACGCCCTGTGCCACCAGTCTTAGAGAACAGAGTGTTGCCAGATTCAAAACATTCAAGTTTTGTTGGCAAAGGAATTTGGCAGAGTCCGCTAGAAAGATACAGGCTAGTCAGAAAACAGAAAAATAGTCATTAATATTCATATTCAAACAGGACCAGAGCTCATTTCTGTTTCATTTTATGTGCATTTCTCTTATTTTTAATTCATAAGCTTTTCTGTTCAACAGTAGTCACCTGCGTGAAAGGTGAATATGGATGAGCTTGTAAAACAAAGTGAAAAAAAGTTTCAAGGTGCTTGCAGTTTAGCTTTTTAACATGTAGAAACATAATTTACAGTTACAGAAAGATTAGAAACCGTCACTGTAAACACTGAAGAACAAAGGTGTGTTCACCTGGGGTTACAAAGTGTGTAGCGGTCACTCTTGTTTGTAATATAAATTCCGGACTGCCGAGCACCCATGGTGTCTGCAAACTGAAGAACAAAAAAGAGTGAATAATGTGTTTCTGTCTGTGGGAGCGTCTCTGTTTGTGCATGTGTGAGCACATGGCCAGAGATTCTAGTAACCATAATACAAACTCCATAGTAGTGTCCACTGATCATGTTACAGTCCCTGCATTCCACCCTGTGGGACCTTTCAAATAGGACACACCCTATTGAAAAAGTTTCCTTCAAAGGGCTCTGCAGATTTTTTCCCTTAAACTTCCCTTTGCTCATTTGATGCTTCGAATCTTTTTAAAAACTGTTATATGATCCCTCATTGTGTGTGAGCAGCTGTGACATTACTCATGTTTCCACA